ACTAGTTGCTAAACACGATTGGATGAATAAATATATGTTTAAACGTATGTGTATACACATATACACATGCATATATTGCGGTTAGCAACCACAACATATATATATATACACACACACACACACAAACAACACATGACATGCATACATACGATATSAACAYATAAAAATATGTACATATAACACATAAAAATGAGAAAATAGGAAAAATAGAAAAATCCCTCGCTGATCCCTCGCAAATCAGCGAGGGATCAGCGAGGGATTATGAATTTTTGTCATTTCCCTCGCTGATCCCTCGCTGATTTGCGAGGTATCAGCGAGGGAAAATTTCTCTCGCAGATCAGCGAGGGATCAGCGAGGGAATTGTTTTTCTGGAATTTCCCTCGCTGATCCCTCGCTGAGGGAAATGTTTTTTTGGAAGTTCCCTCGCTGATCCCTCGCAGATCTGCGAGGGATCAGCGAGGGAACTTTTCCCTCGCAGATCAGCGAGGGAATGAGATTTTTTTCATTTCCCTCGCTGATCCCTCGCTGATCTGCGAGGGAAAAATTCTCTCGCTGATATTCGTCGCTGATACCTGATTTTCTAGTAGTGTATTAAAGCATTCCAATTTCAAGTCTCACCGAAAATACCCAGTTTTTTAAAAGTAGCATGAATAACGTGCATTTCCATTCAATCATGTTTTAAAAGTCAAATTAATTTAATTTTTATAGGTTAATTTTCTTCATTTTGTTAAATAAATTATTAAACGTATTTAAACATGTTTTATTGACAAAACGCTAATTTCTCACTCCAATTTATCCAACCCCGTACCTTTTTTTTTTATTAACCTGGATATTCAACCCGCTATACGAGCCAATTAATCTTAGAACGAACATCTGCTTTGCATGTAGTCCAGAGTCACCGCATTTGTTGGTCACGGTTCCAGCATCTTCCTAAATCGAAACGTGGCGCTGGCTGCTACGCTATAAGGGAAATAAGGTTGCGTCTTCACCAAGGCAATTGCTTTTGGTGTAGTGGGTAAGCGCTTGATCCTAACAGCATTTGAACCTACATTTTTATTCCTTCTTCGATTTGAACCTGAGACCTCCTGGCACTTTCGACCTATGAAGTCAAACTCAAACCAATCAGGCACCAACCCCATACCCTTAATTAGCTGACAAACAATTCTTATATGTATATATATATATATAGGTATTAAAATGATTGAAAAATTAATAAATATATTTTTAAATACTACCATTTCTAACTTGTAATAGAAATTATTAAAAAAATAATTATTAAATTTAATTTAGATTGCACAAAATTACATGTTGGGTAACAATCACACATTCTATGCTAATTTGATATTACTAATAACTAATATGAAACGTGTATTTTCTTTATTCGACTAGAAAACAATATATATATATATATATATATATATATATACTATATATATATATATATATATGAAGTATTATGTGAAAAGCAAATTAATATGTGATGATTGTAGATATTTGTATTAATCATGTGTGATTATCTAGATTTACATTTATAGATATTATTGTGATGCAAATATTATCGCATGTGATAATACATCACTTTATACTCAGACGCATATTATTACATGTAACTTATACTCATATGCATATTATTACATTGTTATGTACAAAAATTCACGGAGTGGATTATATATGATATGCAACAAATCATATATTAAACGTAACTAATCACATGTGATTCAAAATGTGGACTCAAAAAATAAACATAAAAGACGGAGAAAAAGATAATTGATTGATTGTGTATATCATATGTGATATTTGATGAAAATTGTGATTTTTTATTATTATCAAAAGTGTACCTAAAAAATAGTGAAAAATCATATAGAACGTGATTAAAATTTATGAATCAAATTGAAATTAAAAGATAGATAAATCTGAAAGAAACAATTAGATTTTTAAAGGATTCAAATAGCGGTTTTGCTACAATTATACCCTTAACAAAACAACTGACCAAAATTTAAAATGATAATTGTTTTAATTTTCTAAAATCATTTTTCATTTTTTATTTATGTTATTTTTCAATAGATTATGTGGTTAGAATGTTTTTCACATTATCTTAAATTTACCGTCTTCTCATTTGAACCTCACCATATGTATATATATCCACTTGTATTGTGTACTAACAGTTTATTTTTAGCATCAATTTTAAACTGAGGTTGAAAAATTATTAACAACCACTACAAGATAAAGGGGTCTCAGAGATCATAACAAAAAATGATTTATCAGTTGTTTAACTGCAAGTTACCATATTGTTTATTGATAATTGTAGCTTCAATGTCAGCTGACCTTCAAGTGCTGGAACAAGCGAGCATAAGTCTTGGATTAAAGTGGAGATCAACATAATCAAGATTCTTTAGTTGCCCCGTCTGTCCATTGAAAACCACCACCAAAATTCAAAGTTCTAAATCATAATCGCTTTTGTCATATAGTTTCTTTTCTAAATGTCACATTTAGATACACTTCCAAAACTTTCTCTAAAACCCTTTCACTTTTAGTGAACATGATTAAAACATATACTATATATATGGGCGATTTCAAATGAAATCGAGTTTTAGTTGTGAAACAAATGACAAATGAGAGCGTGACACATGTCCTCTGCATCCAATAGACTATTCATCATGATTAATGAATCAATTTAACATGAATCATGACTGTACATTATTCATATTAATGTTGTACTATTCATCATGAATGTTGTATCATAATCATGAACAGTTGGTGAAATTCATCTTCGTCATTCATACTGAACGTGGACAACAAGGAGATGTGTCGAGCTCTCCTTTAAACTTTTTTGTTTCTTTCTTTATAACCATATGATAAAACTATGAAAAAGAAAGACAAAAGGGCATTAGTTGTTTTATCCACATATTGGACCAAACTTTAAACAAGAACAATGTGAGTAGGCAACTTGCCAAAATCTCAAGGTTTGAATGCATTACATTTTCCAAACAAAATGACAACCCAAAATGTACTTTTCCCAAATTCATAAAATAAAAGCTACAACAAACTTTCACTTATTGGTCTTTTATATTATTTTATTCGTTTTTATATTAAATTTAAATAGAAAATAAATCATTTAGTTTATTAAATTAAAGCTTCCAATGATAATGAAGTTTACATTAATAAATATTATGATTAATTAAAAAAAACCTAAATAAAAAAAGTCCAATTTCACTTTTCTTTTTAACATGAAAATAATGAAATAAACATGATGGTTGTTTAAAAATAATAATGTTATTGGTTGTCAACACTATTAGAAAACAGAGTATCAGCGATGGTTATCATCTACGGAAGAAATCCGTCGCAAATCAGCGACAAATTATTTCTTGCATGGGTATACGGAAAACAGAGGGGTAGATTCGTAACTTTCATAAATATGCAACAAACGGGTTCATATATGAACTTATGTGATTCACAAATAAAATATATGTTCATATGTGAATCCGTTAATTAGTTTATATAATAATATCTATATTACGTTTGATTTTAGTCTAAAAACACATCATGGACGGACCTACCATGGTGGTTATGGTGGCACGTGCCACCATATTATTCCTCCGTCGAAGGATAAAAAAATTTATGTTTGTGAAAGGTGCAACCGTATTAATCTGTTTGTGTGTCACCATATGTATTTTGAAACTACAATGAGAACAAGTTTTATTTGGTAGAGTTGGTTTGCAAGACTTTTATTATACCCTAGACTCGAGTTTGAATCTTGTTAGTGTCATTTTCTTAGTCAAATAGTGTCATCGATTGGAAATTTTTTTGTATATTTGTTTCTTATAATCAAACAGTACCACTTTTTTCTCTTATAGTTAAAAGATATCACCATTTAAAAAAATTTTTGAGTCCATCCCTGAAATACATGATTCATTTTCATTATATCATCAAGTCAAAACACGTAATAATATATTTTCAGGTATGTTTTATTTAAAATTTTAATTATTAAAATTCGTTTTTAAAAAAGAGGAGGCATAAGAAAAATAAAAAAAAATCTTGGCCGTCAAATAAAACATAAATAAAATAAAAGTAAAATGAATTTAGCTTCGAGTTATTGCACGTAAAGAACACTGACTCTCCCTAGTCAACACGTAGTCTCTCTCTTTGGGTATATATACCCTACGCTTGCGCCACCTCCATTTAACTTTCTCTTTCTAGATCTACAAATAGACGGAGTTCAAGTTCAACCATGGCGTCTGGTGCTGCCGGAGATGGAATATTTGGAAACGTCTTTGGAGGATGCATTTCCAGCGACGACATCGGTATTCAGAGGAGGCCTTATCATCGCAACTGCAACTGTGCTCTTCATAGATCCGATGAAAACCATTGCACTCACGCTCCTCTTCCTAAAGTCTCCTACCCGATCAGACGATCCTGGAGCGAAGGTTGTTTGGTAGCCATGATGGCCTCCGCTGGCCCTTCTCCCGGATCTTCTCCATGTTGTCCTTCTTCACCGGCACCGACAGCTCCTTCCGCGGCCAGATTGCCGCCTCATATTCCGAATCATCAACTAAATCATTAGGTTTTTCGTCGTCTGTTTAAGGTTTGAAGATCTGTTAGGGTTTTTTTTCTTCTTTTTTTGGGGGTTGAATTGATTGGATCTTTGTGGAAAGAAATCAAATCAGAATCATGTACATCCTTTGACAATCTTTATTTAATTGAGTTTTCCCTGTGGATCGTAGTAATTTTTGCATTTGGAGTGATCGATTTTTTCAATTGTTCTCGATACAGTTGAAGGATACATTAATGAACAAAAATGTCAATTTTGATTGTCTAAGATCGATCATTGTTATTGTTACTTATTTGCATCTCACAATTAATCGGAAAGCTAACAATTCCATAGACATTGTATCACATGAATTTCATTCACAAAATAGGTGTATTTTCTTTAGATTCAAAGATCCGATTATGAGTTTTAATCAACTCCAAACAATTCAGTAAAAATCGTTGTTCAAACGTTCCAGTTTTCATTCAAAACCACATAAAATCGTATTATATCGAGATAAAAAAGAAATAAAATAAAATATTGAAATCAAGATGTGTCTTGATGCATTGCACAGATATCCTTCTAGTTTTAATTAAATATCGATGCTAATAAAGTGCATCAAGATCTCTCAGATCAGTTCTTTTCTAAAACGTAACTCATATATAAATATGAGATTTAAATTCAATTCAGATCTTTTCTTACATTTCTCACCGTAACTTTTTTTTACATGTTTGTCTTATATTTATATATATGGATTTTGCTATATGGAGATGAAAATATTTGGTAAAAAATATAATAATTTTGATTAAAATGATAAAATAAATGAAAAGTATTAATTGTGGGTGGAAAGGAAGAGGTTGGGGCGGTCCAGTTGAGTCCAGCCTAAGCCACCTCGAAATCTCCGCGTCTTGGGCTGTTGCAAGACTGGCGATTCCTTTCACCCTCTCTAACCTATTATCATATAATTTAGACTAAATTACAAATTTCGTCCCTATGGTTATCTAAAATTTTGGATTGGGTCCCTCAAACAAAATAATTACATGTATAGTCATCATGGTGTCAGTTTAATTACGGAATGGGTTCCTCTGTTCTAACTCCACTAACCTTTGCCATGTTAAATTAAGGGTAACATGGTCATTTTACTTTTTTTCCTTTAAAAACATTAAAAATAATGTACATGTCATATGTTTGACTAGTTCGTCGTTCCCCAAAAAAGCCCCGGTAGGCACCACCTTCACTAACCACCACCTGTTACTTTCTTTCCAACTCTGACAACGCACCTTCAAGCCATCTTTTGTAGACGACTTATACCCAGAGCCGTTTCCATTTTCTTATAGGGACCATTAAATTTGATCTTACTATATACCCTTATGTCCTCCTGATCAAAATCCTTATGAGCATATTATAACAGTTCCAAATGAAAATCAATGATGAACTAAGATCGAACTCAAATCAATCCTGAGTGCTATTGAAGCTTTTCAGTGAACTCATCGAGAAATCATCGATAAATTGAAACTGGGTTTATCGAGTCATGGGGAAATTGTAGCCAGATTTATCGATAAATCGAAACCAGGGTCATTGATAAACTGAAACTAGGTTCATTAAGTCATCCGAAAATCGAAACCAGATTCATCGATAAATTGGAACCGGGTTCATTGGGTCGTCGGGAAATTGAAACCAGATTCATCGATAAATTGAAACCGGGTTCATCAAACTATTAGGAAATCGACACCAGATTCATCGATAAATTGAAACCGAGTTCATCGGGTCATCAGGATATCAAAACCAAATTCATCGATAAATTGAAATTGGTTCATTAACTCATCGAGAAATCGAAACCAGTTACATTGATTGCCAAAATTTTTGTTTTTTGTTTTTATTGTTCATCAACGGCCACAATACTGTTTTTTTTTATTTTCTTCGTCTTCAACTTCTATTTTTGTTGTGTATCCCTAAGAAGGTATTCATTAGTCTTAAACTTTTGTTCTTGTTGTTATCATAATTAAAGCATAACTCATGGGATGTAATTAGTCTTAAACTTGAAACTATACTAGGAACAAGTTGAACACACAAAGTCATATGAATGGGTTTTGCATATATGATGATGAAGAAAGACAACGATCCACACACACACACACACATATATATATATATATATATATATAGGGTTGGGTTCACGTGAGACCAAGGGTTTTTCGTGAGACCCGTAAGACCAATTTATGTTCATTGATCAAATTTATGAATTAATGATCTAATGGTTGCAAAGTTGCAAGGTGGCAATTTCGTAATTAGTGAGAAGTTTTGTGGCATTTATAAATATTCAGATCTGACGATTGTAAATCTAATCCAAGGGTTGAGAATTGGTCTTACGGGTCTCATGAAAAACCATTGGTCTCACATGATCCCAAGTCTATATATATATATATATATATATATATATATATATATACAACAAACTTATCTATAACATGTCCTATAATGGTGCAACACTAAGTAACATGTGTCAATTTGGTGGATTTGCATCAAAATCAGTTTGGGGGACTAGAGGCAATCTTCTTACCTTTCTCGATGGATTTGCATCAAATCAAGGTTTGGAGGGATGGGGGACTCGTTAGGGATGGTGATTTGCCCCACCGGTTCACCCGACCCGAACGGGGACGAGGATTCCTTGCTAAAACGGGTTCCGGGGCTGGGGCTGGGGCCATGAATCCCTGGTAGACTCAAACTGGGGACGGGAGATGTTACTCAAACCGGAGACGGGGTCAGGGATCTCCGGTAGAATCAAACTAAAAGATAATATTTATGGGGTTTGACCGGAGATAAGAGAGAATGGAGGAGACTGGAGGCTGCCGACGAAGATCTATAAGGTGCTACGTGTTTTTGTTCATACGTCTGCGTGTGTGTGTGTATATATATATCATATTATATAATAAAAGCTATATACTTTTTATTTTTTAAAAGAAAATGGAATTAATGGGTACAAAGACAAAAATGTCCCTGATTTAACAAAAGTAAAGTGAACGAAGTTAAAGGCAGGGACCTAATCCATAACAAAACTGAAACCACAGTGGCTATACATGTAATTATTTTATTTGGGGACCTGATCCATAACTTTCATATAACCATAGGGATGAAATTTGTAATTTACCTTATAATTAAAAGAATGAATGTCTTTTCTGGACCTGTGGTTTGTTGAGTTTTTGGATTCGGTCCCTACAAAAGAAATTATTGTAAGGAAGTCTCTATAATATGTATTTTATATGGTTTTGGTCCTTTTTACCAAGTTCTTTGCCGCTAGTGGGTAGGGGTACTAAAAAATCTAACCAATCGGATTAACCTAACCCAACTCAATGCGAAATAACTCAACCTCAAACAACTTAATGTCCAATGGAGTTGTAAAGTCTTAAACCGTAGGTATTGGGTTGATCTTGGGCTATTTTTATTTGAACCAAACTCGATGAATAGATATCCTTTTACTTTTTGGATTTAATATGATTGTTGAGTCTCTATTATTATATACATTAAACAATTACACCGTCACATCACCTCTTCATATACATATATTTTCAATCTATTATCCATCTCTGTATAACTCCTTTGCATATATGTTCAGTAACTATGCACATATATATGCAAATTAAGAAAATTAATTGAATGTGATATATTTAAGATTTCAGAAGTTCAAATAAGTTGTACCAAATGGTTAGTGAAAAAGAAAGTATGAGTAGACTAGAGAAAGTAACATATTTAAGGTTAGTAGAATATTTTGATGTATCAAAGTATCAAGCCGATCAACTCAACTGACCCAACCAACCCATACAATTTGGGTTGGTCGGGGTTGAAAATTTTCAAACTGCAAGCATTTGTTTGAGTTGTTCAATGTCTTTTACCCAATCAACTCAACCCATGAGCACCCCTACTAGTGAGGGCGGTGGTGTTTGAGAAGGGTTATGGAAACAAATCCAAGGTTGACGAGGGATGGGTTGCTGTAATTTTAGTGAAAATCATTGATTCATTTTATGTATTCAGATTCATAAGAGAATATGAGGTTGTTAGTCTAGTTATATAGGAGGTGGGTGGAGTGTAAACTCGTATAAGCTAACTAGAATCCGGAAACACTGGATGACATCATATGGTGGGGGTCAACGGGGCCTTGCCTCTGTTAGTGGTCTTAAAACCTTCATAGATTTTATGAAAGTGAGTAGTTGGAAAATTGAGCTTCTGAATGTTTTAAGTAGAATGAGTCTTGTTCAAAAGCTTCTAATTCTAAAATGATTTTGAAAGAGAGCTTATGACTCTAAAGAGTCGTAACTTCTAATTCTAACCATAAAAAGTCAGAGATTTTGAATCTGAGGCCATCACATCCCATGTAAGCAGTTTGTAACTATTGTGCTGTTAACCATCCCTTAATTAATCCAAAATTTTTTTCCATAAAATGGAGAGATATTCTCGAAATTAATTAATATAGAAACAATTACAATTCTCTTATGTTAAAAAGAAGACGATTTCTATCTATCAAAATCGTGACTGGCATTTGAGATTATCTTCGAGTTGTCAGGGAAAATTATCTCTTACACGATAGCAAGTTTATCCACGTTTTATACCTACCGTAATTTTTGAGTTTCCTCTAAAAGGGTTTATCAGGGGTTGGGTAATAAAACAAAAATATCTTTAACTAACGAGAACTTCTTCAAAAGAGTTGAATTGAACGATCATTTTCAAAGCAAAATTCAATCAATGTAATAATTATCGTACTTATAATTTTTTGGACAATGTTTGTAGTTCTAAGTAAACCATAAAACCTAAAATTGTTTACTAAAAAACAATCTTAATTTAAATAAATCCCCCGGGTCGGTTGAATTGATTGGGACTTGGGAAATGGAAATGAATTTTTTTTCCACACAAATAGCCCAAAAATAGTGTCCAGAAATTGACCCTCAACGCACTCACATACACTCCTCTAATATATGAATGTATCACTTATATTGTCTGGTTTCAAGCGAGAGGACAGTTAATTTGTAAGAAAAAACGAGAAA